CCGGTACACCCTCAACGAGGAGTGGCTCCTGAGGGAGAACATCGAGGCAAAGCCGAGGGTGAGTCCCTGCGCCCCGAGGCTCTGACGGGTGCGTGCCCCGCGGGAGCAGATGCCTTTCCAGAGCCTGGATCAAATTCTGCTTTCAATTACCTGACATAAATCTGGAGCAGCTTCACTGAAGTCAGTAGGTTACCCCAGATGTGCGTCACCGTAACTCAGAGCGGGTTCGAGCTCCACATCCTCTGCAGATTCCTGTTACCAATTGACCTGTAAATTCACAGCGCAGACCGAGGGGGTTGGCAGCAGGGTGCCGAGGGTTGGCTTTCTCGGCAGAAATGGTGACTTCATAAGTCTGAGCAGGGGAAGCGTGGCTGCTTCCTGCTTAGCAAGAGGAGAAAGAAAAGTACGAACAGGGGATGCTGGAGGAAGGAGAGCAGCTGCAGGGTTAGTGCTAAGTCACTGGCAATCCCCCACATTAACCTGAACTGAACCTCTGCTTTAAAGAACACCGTGTGAAATCACATCTTCATTTAATGCTGTGGAGAAAATGGGACTTCACCTGCGCGCTCACGGTGTTGTAGTCAGGGCTGCCGACGCTGCATCCTGATGCTGAAAAGCAGCGGTGGCAGAGGAACCTCTAGGCTATGAAAATCCCGGCCGTCACTCGCACGTACCAGGTGCCCTTCTAAGGGGCAGCTGTGCTGGTGCTCAAGCAGCACCTTTGGCAGCTGCAGCTCCTGCTCTGGGCTGGCCAGGCAGGCGGCGAGATGGCTTCAGGGTCGTGTCCTCCACTAAATGAAGGCGCCACGTTGCCCTCGGGTTCGGGCACACCAAGGAGCGGAGGACACAAGCAGAGGCAAAGCTGAGGCTGTCCCAGAGCCTCATGCTTGCAGCACTTGGGTCTGCACAGCTGGCAAGAGGAGGGGGCACCCCAGCTCTGCCTCTCCTTGCTTGACTTGCAGTCGCTCCCAAAAGAGGAGAGGACCTCTCACGGGAAGAGAGTCGCTCTCGCTGCCCTGCAGCTGCCCGCTGCGGCTGTAGCAGTAGCTGTGCATCCCTGAGGTCGAGCCTGCAGCCCCTTACAGCTGCTTGTCCCGCTGTTCAGCGCGCTCTCGAGCGGGTCGTTGCTGGTGCTGGACTCCTGCCTTGCAGCAGACCCAGCCCGCGGCACGCTTGAAGCTCATTTGAACAAAGGCGCGTGGCCCGCTGCGTTGGGGGAGGCTGAGCAGCGAGCCTTGGCGCTCCCGTGAGTCGCTGCTCAGAGCCAAGAAGCTGAGTATGGGGCTGACCTCCCCTCCCGCCCCCGAGGTGGTCTCTGTGCAAGAGGAGGCTGCAGGGTCGCTCCCTGTGTCCTCCTGCCTGGTCACCAGGCAGGAGCCTCCAGCCTCAGGGGCTGTAGCTCAGCACCTCTCGTTGGTGTAAGGCGTAAATGACCACATTTGTTCAGCCTCATTTCCAGCAGCACGGGCCCCGAGCACACCAGCGAGAGCTGTGCAGGCACCGCAGCCTCCGTGCGTCCGTGGAGCCGGCAGAGCTGGGCAGGTCACTCCCTTTGCCCCTAACCCGGCCTCTGCCCGCAGAACCTCAACGTCTCCTTCCAAGGCTGTGGGATGGACTCGCTGAGCGTCAGGGCCATGGACACGGACACGCTCAGCCAAGTGAAGGAGAAGATCCTGGAGGCTTTCTGCAAGAACGTCCCCTACTCCCAGTGGCCAAGGGTGGAAGATGTCGACCTCGGTAAGGATCAGAAGCATTGGACCAGCCAGTCCTTAAAAGCAGATGAAGCACCTGATGTTGCTTTTGGTGTCTGTCGGAGAGCAGTGGGTAAAGCAGCACTGACACAAGGGCAGACATCAAGGCAGCCTTTTCCTGAGGATGGTCTTCAGGAATGAGTGATGGGATCAGATACTGGTGGGCAGGAGGGAGCTGCAGAACTGGAAGGAAGCTTTAGGAAAGCCCAAGTGGAGCAGAGCGACACTTGGACTTGCACCCTTTACAGCCTATAGCCTTAACTCCTGAACAGGCTGGAACCCTCTAAACACCCCTGAGCCTGCAGATGCCTTGTTAGGACGTGTCCCTCCATTAGCAGCTATAATTGAGCCCATGGGCTCCTGTCTGGCCATGGATTCTGATCTGTCGTTTGTCTGCCCAATGGCCAACTCCTGCTCCCAGAATTCAAGAAGGGTGCAAGCCCAGTGCTGGTAAGAGAAGTGCCTGCTGGCTGTGGTGCCCACGTGCCACCCGCGGGCCGTGGAGACACGTCCTGGCTGGCGGCAGTCGCAAGGTGTGACCTTTGGTGTGGTCGGTGCCGGCGAGACTCCGAAGAAGGACGCCGGGGCCGGGGTGGTGACGCGGCCCCGCTCCTTGCAGCGGGCACACACAGCGTGTCCCCCGTCACAGGCACGCGACAGCCCTGCCCTGCGGGGAGCCGCTGCCATCCCTCGGTGGCCGCATGCCGGCCACGGCGTGTCTCAGCTGCCCGGTGCTCCACAAGGCAGGTCCCACGCCGCCCTAGGGGAGAGGGGAAGGGGGAGATGTGAGCCTTAGCCACCTTTTCCAGCTCCATCCAGATCTGCTCTAGTCTGGAAATTCCCACTGCAGAGGTTCACCGCGGAGGCCATTGCTGACCATCTGCTCTGGTTTTGCAGGGCCCCGGAGCCTTGGCGGTGGGACCGCACAGCCCCTGGGCACGGTGTGGCCGTTCCCTGGCGCCGCGTGTGCCGCCTCAGGGCTGGGGTCTCACTTCTCCTTCTCTGTGTGCAGAGTGGTTCGCCACCAGCACCGACAGCTACATCCTCCGGGACCTGGATGACACCTCGGTGGTGGAGGACGGCAGGAAGAAGCTCAACACGTTAGCGCATTACAAGGTAAACCTGCGGCACCGCAGGAAGGCTTTGCTTCCTCAGAGTCTGCCCGGCCTCGGGAGCGAGCTGTGCTTCCCCCTCCAAAACCAGGATTATCAGGAACGAGCAGGGAGGTTGCCATAGCTCCGTGAGAGCTTCCGGGGAATAGACATCTGCCCTGGCGAGAAGCTCGTTAATATTGCAACACACTGAAACTAATTAAACACTCTTCATGCAAAACAAGTTATTACTGACAACAGAAAGAGGAGGGAAAAAAGCTCCTATTCCCAACGGCCACCAGCTTGGCTGATGAGTATCACTCTGCTCTTGATCTGTGCTCCTTTTGCTGAAATCGTGGCACCATTGTCGCTGCCCGCCCTGAGAGCAGGGCCAGGGATGCCGTCGAGGAGCGGAGGCCAAAAGTGTGGGGAAATGCGGCAAATCAGATTGTTTCCTTGACTGTTTTTCCTTTCAAAATTAAATGAAACCAGAAATTCTTTTGTGATTTCCATATTCCCTGGTATGCCTGGGAGCACAATCCTCACTGGTCTGTAGCAGTGCATGGAAAATCAAAAACTGAGCTGAGTGCTTATTAATATTATTATTTGTGTAGCAGCCGTGCTGCGGAGCCCCACTGCTGGCACGGTGCCTCACTGTGCCCAGAGCCAGAGCCACAGCATGGAGAGGGCGTACCAGCCCCGCGGGTCCAGGCTGTGGCTGGGTTCCTTCTCCTCTTCCAGGGAAAGGCAAAACGGCGTCTGCACAGTGTAACGCTCTTTGCTCTTTGAATTACCTGGTGTCGACATCCAAAAGTGTATCTTGGATACACGCACTTGCCTGATTCCCCTTGGATTCCAGAGCCTCACTATCTTGCACCCGCATCTGCAAACCCCTTCCAGGCAGGGCAGTGCCACTGGTGCCACATCCAGGCTGGGGGGCAGGGGCAGGGCTGGCGCAGAGGAGGTTGGTGGCAGAGCAGCAGTTGCACCAGCGCCCCCCACTCCCGGAGTGCCCCCGGCTGCCCCAGCTCTGTGCGAGGCGCCGTGGGCCCCGTCACCCAGGTCTGCTCTCCCTCCGCAGATCCCCGAAGGGGCGTCCCTGGCCATGAGCTTGTCGGACAAGAAGGATGCGACGCTGAGCAGAGGTAACGCCGCACGTCTCTTGCCTGGCGGCTGATGACCGTCAGAAGCACGTGTGTTTCCAGAGGGGTGTCTGTGGGCACGGGTGCTGGAATGCCGTGGTGCTGCCAGTCCCCTGCCTGCATGTCTGGGAGG